GTGCAATCTAGCAGCGCTTGTCTACCGGCTATATCTCCTTATTGTTTTTCGGCAACAGATGACGCTGAAAACGAACGTGTTTCCTTTTGCTGTCGGTTGATATTGCAGTGGACAACCGCCGCAGTGCGCAGGCCACGCTTTCGCGTGTTCCAATTCATAAAGGATGACAGTGGACATACACCTTCATGTGTCTCGCTTGTATGTGCGAACTCATTTCATACTGATGTAGGGAACTATGCGAACGACGACGAAGCAGCATGAAACGGCAAGCCACAGCGTTGGTGCACGCGCGACCCGAGCGCTCACGCTGGCGCTCTCAAAACGTACAACCGTCTACGTCAGCGGTACTACTAGCGCGGCATGTACACATTTGTCCGCAAGTACGTACGTGCTTGTACTGCATGCCAGCGACGTAAAGTCCCACCTCAACGCCCTGCCGGTACATTTCAGCCTCTGCCTTGTCCAGCGCGTCCGTTTGACCGCGTCGGTATCGACTTATACGGACCACTTCCCACGTCGTCTTCTGGAAATAGGTGGATAATTGTCGGCGTGGACCACCTCACGCGTTACGCGGAGACAGCAGCACTACCCGCAGCAACCGCGAGGGAAGTTGCGTTTTTCATCTTGCGCAACTTTGTTCTTCGCCATGGTGCTCCCCGCGAACTTTTGAGCGACCGGGGGCGTGTTTTCTTCCCTGCTGCCATTCAAGCGTTGCTCGCTCAGTGCAACATGGTTCATCACCTGACGACAGCATATCACCCGCAGACGAATGGCCTCACAGAACGATTTAATCGCACTCTCGGTGATAAGTTGATGATGTACACAGCTTCAGACCAGACTAATTGGGACACTGTCCTTCCATTCGTCACGTATGCGTATAACACCGCTACGCACGCGACAACAGGATTCTCCCCTTTCATTCTGTTGTACGGACGCGAACCATCGTGCATGCTTGACACTATCCTCCCATACACGCCCGACTCCTCTGAGTACACTGCAATTTCTGATGTTGCCAGGTACGCAGAAGAATGCAGACGATTGGCCCGTTCTCTGACAACCGAGGACCAAGGCCACCAGAAGCTACGGCTTGACACCGACCGACATCTCTCTACTTTCACGACTGGTGCTCTCGTTTGGCTCTGGGTTCCACCGAGCACTCCTGGCCTTTCGTCGAAATTACTGGCACGATACCACGGGTCCTACCGCATTCTCGCCCGTACGTCACCCGTCAATTATGAGATTGAGCCATTGACACAGTCTCATGACTTACGCCGTCGTGGCCGAGAAATTGTGCATGTGAGTCGCCTGAAGCCGTATTACGACCACGCTATAGTGACTACGCCTTAAGTCGCCAGCTTGGCTACGCTATTCACCGGGGGCCAATGTAGGGAACTATGCGAACGACGACGAAGCAGCATGAAACGGCAAGCCACAGCGTTGGTGCACGCGCGACCCGAGCTTGCGTTTGTTTTGTATTTTCGCCCTGTTGTCGTTCCTCGCTCTTCTGGCGTTCCTCGGCCTTCAAGTAGGCCCGTACGTAAATAAAGTGCGTGACACTGATAACACACTATCCATCTTTATTTCCCCTTAGATCTGATTACTCTTGTATTCGATTTCAGATAAAGTTTTGCGTATTCAGCCAAGTGGTCTGTTCGCATTGTTTGAGATGTAATGAATATGCATATGCCAAGAAAGATTTTTGCTAATCTGAATGCAGAGGAGATATTTACAGGAACTCCTGAACTCAAGGTTGATTTTAAACGTAACATAGCTGAAAAAAGCAGATGCATAGTAAGTAGACTGTAGGGGCATAATTTAGCACTTAGTCAGATTTAAGAGTATTCGCCGCCGTTGGCACCACACCACTTCAAGATGCTATGAAGGAATGGGTGGCAAATAATGTTGCATATGATAACATGTACAATCTTTATATGTGCTGCATGGTGCTTATTCCGCTCGTGTTTCTGAATTTCCTTGTTGAATATAGGTCAACGATTTCTCGGCTGAAGTAAGCTATGAGAAAATGTTATCATTTACTTTATACAGTCTTATGTGATGCTTTTACGATGAATACAAGAGTACCTTAGCAGAGCTCGCTGTTCGGCTAGTTGGCGCGTGTCTTGTTTCTTCCTGTGTGTGGTTGTTCTTTCGGCGCGACGTTGAATATTTAATCAAGACAGACAAGAGTACCTACATGTATTTGTAGTCCGTATTGCCTGCTACTGAGTTACAAGACGTACTGAATAAAGCGCATTTATATCAATATTCCGAATTGCCATCAACATCCTTCGATTATGGTAATCATTGCAGAGAGAGAGAGAGAAACTTTATTTGAGCATTACTCAGAACATTCCAAATGATTGGGCCCTTAATCCAGTGCTCCGCTGGCTCTATCATCGCAGAATTGTCGCAAAACATCCACTTGTGTTATGATCAAAGCGACATACAAAACATTAGCTGCATCTTGTGCTCTCCATTTCAAATGAAGGGCAATGCCAACTTTGTACTTGCATTACCTCTTAAGGGTTAAGCATCTCTTTGACTGGCAGGAAAATAAACAAGTTAACACCTTATAGATGTGGCTGCAGAAATTAACAAAGAGATTTATCACTAAGCCTTGATACTCACTATCAACAAGATATGGAAAAAGGGTGATATGCCCGATGCTTGGAAACTAGCTCACACGGTTCTCATACCCAAACCGGGAAAGGCGCCGAGCCTAGATAACCTACGCCCCATATCTCTCACGTCGTGCGTGGGCAAAGTGGCTGAGCACGTCGTCCTCAACAGGGTTGGTCGATACCTCGAAGATAACGACTACATCCCGCACCACATGATTGGCTTCCGACCAGGGTTATCCACTCAAGACGCCATGTTACTCCTAAAGCATCAAATTCTAGATGGCGGAAACACTCGGGACACTCGTGCAATACTCGGTCTTGATTTAGAAAAGGCCTTCGATACCATAACGCACTTGTCAATCTTGAAAGCGATCGCAGCCCTCGGCCTAGGTCATCGATTTTACTACTTTATCCGCTCTTTTCTCACTCGGCGCAGAGCCGTCCTCCGCGTAGGAGACCTAGTGTCGGAAGAAGTGGAGCTCGGACAGCGGAGCACTCCTCAGGGATCCGTCCTCTCACCCACGCTCTTCAACCTCGTGATGATCGGGCTTTCCGAACGACTTTCGAAAATAGACGGGCTAATTCACACTATCTATGCGGATGATGTAACCATATGGTGCTCCACAGGGTCAGATGGCTTCATTGAGTCCGCCCTGCAAGAGGCTATCGACACCACCGAGTCTTACCTCGACCACACCGGTCTCAGGTGCTCACCTGCGAAGTCGGAGCTGTTGATATATTTGCCCAAACGCCGGGGTGCCAAGCCCAAAGGGTGGAAACCTCCGGCGGAACGTAATATCACCCTCCACACCAGAGATGGTCGTACTATACCCAGGGTAGACACCATCAAGGTCCTCGGCATGATCATCGAGTCCCGCGGAAACAACACCCAAACAGTACACAAGCTCAGGACTAAGACTGAGAATGTCATACGACTCGTACGTAGAGTAGCCAACAGGCACCATGGCCTCAAAGAAGACAACCTTCTGCGTCTCGTACACGCGTTTATTTTGTGCCATTTTACGTACGTTGCCGCTATACACAAGTGGCTACGTGCTGAGCGCGATCAACTCAATGCGCTTATTCGCAAGGTGGTCAAACGAGCCCTTGACCTCCCTATCACCACTCCAACGAACAAACTCCTCGAGCTTGGCGTACATAACACGCTAGAAGAGATCGCCGAAGCTCAGGAACGTGTGCAATTGACCCGACTCACTGCAACCAAGGCGGGCCGCCATATTCTGCGCGAGCTCGGCTTCTTCTCCTCGAGGGCCAGGGACCCCCCAGAGTTGACTCTAATTCCCCGTGAAATCCGCGACCTTATTACGATCGCTCCCATACCACGAAATGTACACCTCGAATACAACAGAGGCAGGCGCCTTGCGCGGGCGACCGCCATTCTCAAGCGCATAGACATGGAAGCGGACAACGTCTCGTTCGTGGACGCCGCTGCCTATCGCAACAACCAAGCCTTCGCCGTGGTCGCGGTATCATCCGCGCAGCAGACTCTTAACTCAGCCACAATCCTCACCCGAAACCCCGAAGTAGCGGAGCAAGTAGCTATAGCTATAGCTATGCTCGACAGCAAACGGGAATTCATCTACAGCGACTCCAGGCCGGCCATCAAAGCCTTCGAACGCGGAGTCATCTCCGACCAGGCGTTACGTATACTGCGCAATGCGGACCCGAGTGCCCTGAAGCACCACACTGTCATCTGGTTCCCCGCCCATCTCGGCCAGGTGCCAGGTGCCCTATACAACCTCAACGAGATCGCCCATGATGCAGCGCGCGCACTTACCGACCGCACTGCCACAGGGCAACCTCATCTTGCTGGGTTGGATACCAATCGGGATGCACCAATTACGTACAATGAAAATTACAAAGCACTTTTACTTGGAACGCCGCATTTTCCACCCCCACATCCGAAACTTAACCGACCACAGGCATTAACCCTACGCCTAATACAGACCCACACGTACCCAAACCTTGCCACGCTTCACGTTTATTATCCCGATGCATACCCCAGCGACACAGGCCCATCATGTGGACACACAGCGACACTCGAACACATGCTCTGGGAGTGTAGAACAACTCCTCCCGACTCTACCTCAAGCAAGTGGGAGAGGTCCCTCAAGAGCTCACTGCTCGCCGACCAGCAATGGGCCGTCCAGCAGGCCCACGAAGCGGCCGCCAGGTACTCCCTGTCGGTCCCTACGTGGGAGACGCCCGCTACGCGCTAAGCGCGTCCTGCAGGACCGAAATAAAGTTTTTTTTCATTCCATTCCATTCCTCGATACTTTTCTTGAGAGCAATTAAAACTCTTAAAAGACAACCCAGTTCATTCTAGTTCGTCCTATATTAACACCGAAACCCTTACAGGCACCGCAGGATTATCGAGTTGTTCGTGCCAGAGTCATCATCGACGATGCACAAGATGACCAGCTGGCTGACGGGGCGACGGCCCGAGTTTGTTGACCCAAAAGTGGTGGCCCGTGGAGAAGGCCGAGAAGGTGACACTCATTTTGCTTTTATCCGCCGTTATAATTTTTTTCTTCGAAAAAGGCAGTGAAAGCAGAACCATACCGTTATCACGTTTCATTCCAACTATTCTCTTCTCATGTGAACCCAAAGTAAAAAAGAAAAATCGGATAAACTAACTTCAGCCACACTGAGCGTATCTATCTATCTATCTATCTATCTATCTATCTATCTATCTATCTATCTATCTATCTATCTATCTATCTATCTATCTATCTATCTATCTATCTATCTATCTATCTATCTATGACTTTTAGCTGTCCTAAACGTTTCGATAATGTTAACGATACCAAAATTAGTGTGGCATAACAAGACTGTATGACGAGCTTCAGTTTCTAGAGATAACATCAAAATTTTTATATGTATGTCATGAATGTCTTGACGGACATTTCATGGTCTTACTGCTGTGGCGGTGGTTTTGTTCCCATGACATATTGCAAAATTGCTATGGTACGATATGACTGCATGACGAACCTAACTGACAGGCCCTAAACATGCAAATCATGCCACGCATGTGAAATAAAGCATGACTACGCGTCACGCTTATGATGCGCTTTCCGTCATTTCGCTAGCTTGGTATATATCATATGTGGTATTACGGTACGTGAATGAATGACGAGGTTATGTGACTGGTGCAAACATAATAAATCATGAGATGCGTATCATGTAAGAACACGATTACATGCTACGCTCAGAGAGTACTCGCGGCCGTTTTGCTAGCTCCACATATACCTTATTTGGTATTACAAGACGTCATTGGACGATGAAGGTAAACGACACGTCCAAACGTGATAATCATGATATGTGTGTCTTGTAAAATAATATTCATGCTATGCCACAGCGTGCTCCTGTACGTTTCACTGGCTCCACATATACCTAACTTGATATCTCGTGATGTGAATAGACGATGAAGGTAAATGACACGTCCAAATTTGACAATCATGATATGCGTGTGATGTAAAACATGACGGCATGCTACGCTCATAGCTTGATCACGGCTGTTTTGCTAGCTCCATATATGTCAAATAGTGTATTACTTGACGTGAATAGACCTCGAGGGTAAATGATAACAGACTGCGAGGGCAAACATGATAATCATGACGTGGTTGTCATGGACGGCAAAATTTACGTACGCCTCGTAACGTTGTACTGACTTTATAAAGTGACCTATCAAGGTTTCTCAATCATACTTCACATATCGTCAATTCCCATTGTATGTCGGATCTGCCAATTTTTTCTAGTTAGCTCATGATAGGCAAAAAATCAAAACCTGACCTTGCCATGGTTATGTGGAAGAATAGACGCTAACTAACGTATGCGTAAAAATTCGTGTATGGTGCCTGGAATTCTCTCTCTTATCATCACATCATGTGATCATTCAAACTGAACATTGCCACAAATCAACATTCATTGTGGAATGAGAGAAACATGTACTTAATTTTTATGTAAATAATTTCTTGGTGTTTTCTTTTGTTTATTTTCATTCCATATTCATTTTTTGATTTTATAGCAATATATTTCTTAAGGCTTTTTTGTGTGTCATGAAGATTTCAAATATATGTCCATCTTTTGTGAAAATGCGAAGAATTTTTTACCAATGAAAGGTCTTTTCCTTCTACCTAACTATCTTGTGCCTACGTTCGGGCAACTTCATGGATATCTCCTTGACTTGAAACGAGTGTGACAAAGTTTTCCAGCAACTGTAGACTCTCACACTTGAGACAGAACTTCATAATGATATCGCTGCACTGGCACGAAAATGACTAAACTTCCATTAAATCAAATTCTTGCTCATTTTACTAATTTTTTGGGCCACGACTTATACAGCCAAAAATGATCAAAATGAACGGATGCCTTCCCTGAAAAAATTTGCCTAAACCCCTTTTTCACAATGCCTAAACTAGCCTACGGCCGTGGATATTTGATATATGGCACCATCATTCAAAGATGAGAGAACAATTTCCAACTAAGACAATCAATTGTTGGGTCCAGGCGGGGTGCTGCGCTGTAATATTTTGCTCGCGTGTTCGCGAGCAGCAGCCTCAACTACCAAACAGTGGTGGTTTCTGATCATGCTGGAAAAGTGTTGCATGGCAGTTTAAAAGACTGTTGTTGAGTCTCATCCCCAGACTTCTAAGCCACCATATAGCCACGCGCGTTCGTTATTTTCACTCTTCTTTCATTCTTGTTTCGCCCTTGTTTCATTCGGCTTTCGTCCACTAAAGCCTTGCAGGAATGCTCAGCACAAACTGCACCTAAATGTTCGAGAAAGTTCGCGGATATAATATAACCTTCCGCTTACTGGCCACAACTTCGGCCAAATAAACAGTTTGTTCTTAGGCATACAGTCAACTTTCTACGTCACCATCACGACACCATGACAATATGCGTCATGTCTTAAAAACGAAGTCCTCTATGGGAGTTCAAACTGAAGATGCACTAACAAAAGTTGGTAAGTAACTATTACAATAGTATAGAAAAAAACTTTTTTACATATACCAGAATTGTATATAGAAAGCAGGAAAGAAAGGAATGCATGCATGATATACAGTCATCCACTGTACGCAGCTCTTCCTTCATCGTTTGGTGACAAGTTCTGTTGATTTGTTTGCACAGACAATGTTTTAGTCTTCTTTCTGTTGTTGTTAATGCTTAAATGTGCATGAAGTTATGGCAATGGCCGTTTCATCTCGTTCGCACATTTCATCTGTCTTAGCACCACTTTCGAAAATCTTCATAAAATAAATAAAGTTTGGAGGTTGCTGCTCTATGTCGGGTGCTGGTGCGATCATTGATGCGGAGTGAGCAGTAGCATTCGCGATGTCGCTTGACACTATCGTGCACACAGCTTCCTAAGTAGCCAGCTTATTTCGATGTTCATCAAAGAAATGAGAGTTAAAGAAAATGCCTACTTTAACTGAGTTTTCTGCATTGTGCTTTGTTACATTACCGCAGGCTAGCAAATTGACATTAAGGGAAAAACTGCTGCATATTGATCTATGGCGTTGGAAACAGTGCGTGGACAAATGTACGTCGACATGATACTATTGTCCTCAATGCTGCAGCTGTCCTGTTTCTGGTTACTTACGCAGATTATCAATCCTGTTGTATTCTACTTCTTGAGAATAAGGTTCAGCTTCTTTTTACACGTTCACGCTCCCCCACCCCGCCCACCCCCCTAGAGAACATACGGAAACCCACACTTCCAGTGTTCAATGTATCGAATAAACACTCTTCAGTTTGCATGCAATAAGTCTTGATTTTCCTGAAATGTGGCAAATTGTGCTTGCTTTGTGTTTATGCTTGCTTTCTAGAGTAATAATGTTGCCAAATTGTGCAAGCCGTTGTTCGTGATCGGTGTTCGACTATTTTGTTTTTGCGTAGTTCATAGGGGGCTTGCTTTATCACATATCGTTTCTTTAAAATTGTTCCATTAGTTCAATAATGACCAATTTTAACCTCCCGTGACCTGTTTAGTTTAAGGGGGTGCTTAATCGGGAATATAGATGCGTAAATAAGATGTTTCACTCATTGCATATGAAATATTTCCAACTACTCGCATTGCCTAGTTTTGAAACGATAAAAGTGAAGTTAGGTTCACCTTGGTGGTTGTACGCCACACAAGAAAGGAGTGCTTGAGACATGGCTGTATAAGGGCGTAGTCAAGCTGTCGTTTAGGGTCCCGTGGTAGAAAGTACCTTACTTTATTTACCAACACAATTGCTTAATACGCAATTGGCCTTAGTGAGTTCACATGCGGTGTCCACGAAAGTTTTTTGTGAAATATTAATCATAAAAATTGGATTGTTGATGCAAGTGTCAGAGTGTACCCTGAAATGTCAGTGGTGGGGTTTGTGGATATGCTTTTCTCTTAGGTTTGAATAGCACGTACTGTATCTTCTTTGTATTAAGATCAAGTTTCCTAGCGTCCAACACAAAATATAATTTTTTCTCACCGTGTATACGGCTCTATGAAAATTGAGCGAGCAAGAGCGCCCCTAGACTGGACAAAAAATGGCAGATCCCACTGACAGTGGGAATCCATGATATGTGAAGTACGAATGAAAAATGTTGATATGTCACTTTAAATTCAGCACAACGTTACGAGGTGGAGGTATATGATGCCGTACGTGATTTCCGTGTCATGATTATCACGTTTGAAAGTGTCGTTTACCTTCGTAATCTATTCGCGTCACGTGATACCAAACTTAGTATATGTGGGCTAGCGAAACGACCGCGAGCGCGCTATGAGCGTGGTATGTTGTCACACCATGTTCGTATCAGGACTATCATGTTTGCACCAGTCTTATATTTCGTCATCCATCGACGTCACGTAACACCAAATTTGGTGTATGTGGTGCCAGCGAAACGTCCACGAGCGGATCATGAAGGGCCCAATATACTCCAATGTAGCGTTGACGCGCGCGCACGCTGGGCACAGCGACACTACGTTAGCAAAACGCGAGCAGTCTACGCCAGGCGCGACAAGCGTTCGTCGGCACGGCCAGATGGCGACCGGCACGAAATTCGACATGTTGCATTTCGCGCTGACGCGTTACCCAGACAACAGTGCGTCTCTCTGTTTTCACGAAAGAGGGACGCCGGACGGGCTGAAATGCGCATGCGTCAAAGCAACGCAGCGTGGCGCGCGCCTGCGAGTATATGGCAGGACAAGCGCCTGGCGTGGCGACGCCGGCGTGACGCGACGAAATGAACACCGGGGAGCGCGCAAGCCGCGTCACGTCGAAATGTATTGGCGTCTTGACTTTGGCATGTAATCATGTGCTCACATGACCCGCTTCGCATGATTATCATGTTACCACCAGTCAAATAGCTTCGTCATCGATTGGCGTCGCGTAATACCGAGTTTGGTACATGTGAACCTAGCGCAACTGCCGCGAGCACACCATGAACATGGCATGTAGTCATGGTATTACATGACACGCATCTCATGAATATCATGTTTGCACCC